ATGAGCCTCAATAATCTGAGTATCTGTTGTGTATAAGGCTAAGAAGTACCAGCTCCATCAGCATGTACCGTGCTATGAGAAGTGCTGGCTCCATCGTCACGTGCCGCCCTTTGACCTAGCCTACGTCGTTGTGTGTACACTTGCCCAAATGATCGAGACCTGTCTTCACGGCTTGCAAACTTATCGACATGAGTCTTATGAAACATGCTTGCTATTCTCTGTTTGATCCTGTTAAAAATCCCTAACACCGTCGGATCCTGGATGTCGTTCATATGCTCATTTATATCAGCTTCAATATCATCAAAAGCATTGATCTGCGAGTTAATAAATATACACACAACTTAGCACATAATATCTTAATAAAAAAATAATTGTCGTTTTAATTTAGTTTAGAAACTTACATAACCTCTCTCGATCATAGCACTAGGGATGTAACTATCTATCGGTGGGCGTGGCACGTATCCAGCTGATGGCTGTGGGTCGCGTGTGATCCATCTGCGTGTGATATCCCAATACCAACGCATATATGTGGTATAATCAACACCTATAACTCTCTCATCATGTATGAACTCTCACCTATTAATCCACCTGTCTATGTAGGCCGCATGGAATACGACCCAGTCCGTACGATGTGATGTCATCTGTCACCTACGAGCGATTTGCTCAACAGGATTCGACACATGCTGAGAGAGCAAAAATTGTTATAATACACGATCTAGGACATGCATCTCCACAATCTTCCAACATATCAGTGAGACTCTGGCTCTCCACAAAGTAGCGCCATCTCGACGGATAGGTGCAAGAGTATGCATATCGAGCTTTGGCGGTGAATAGGGGTTCTACTTGAACTGAAATTAGATAAAACCTTCATCAGTATCTACAACAAAATTAAAATATTCATAATGAATTGAGTTTTATATTTACCTGTTGGTGTTTGAGGCCATCAAGCTCATTTCGGTAAAACTCTATATTTTGTGTCGTTGTTTTGTACTTAGCGTACCTCATGTTATACATATTTGGCATAAAGAATACATGAGTACAAATTCAATATGAATAAAATTTATGTATAATTATACTTGTATCCCAAAGGAAACTGGCCCTGTAGATCATGATGCACAAGCAAAGTAGGTCGTCCAATATAAATGCGTTCTCATGACCAAATCTATATTAATGTCATGCATCCATTGAATTTTTTATTCTGCATCAAGGACACCCTACCTAGTTCTCTATACAGGTATGCCAACACTGCACTACCCCATGATAGACTGTCGCATATACCAAAATCCTCTAGCAGTGGCAGTCATCGTGCATGTACAAGATTTTTGCTTGCATTAGGAAATAGCATGCACCCTATCATGTGTAATATATAAGCACGAGCGTGATACTGAAGCGTCTCAATTGTGACATCTGCTAGTATATCTCCCATAAATGTCATACGAAGCCACGATAGCTTCATCGCATCACTCCTCAAGTCGGGAACCTGACCAAGAAGCATCTCACATACTTCAGCCCAATTGTGGTTATCGGTGTCCGTAACAATTGGGCCATCGATGCGGAGCCAAAGTATGACGACTACGTCCTGCAGTATAATAGTACACTCTCCTATATGTATATGAAAGGTGTTGGTCTTCGGCCTCCACCTCTCAATCAGTGCACGGATAAGAGACTAGTCAAGCCTAATATACCTCACTACTGAACACTCCCAAAAACCGGCTTGAGCTAACAACTGTAGCACTCTCTCATCCTCAATGACTTAGCCCGAATGACTCTGTGAATGGTCCACTCTGGTGATTTCTGATACGGGTTGCACATTAATCAAAATTGATTAAATATATTGAGAAAAAATAAAATTAGCACCAAAAAATAAAGAATATATATACACCATTTTTTACTTGTCCTAAGCTAATATAGTATGAACAATGATCTGTCTGAAGGTACAAAACGGCGGGTTGCATCGGTCACAGATCCATAATGGATATATCTGAGATTAAAATATTAAAATACAATAAGTTAGATTTTTCAGTTGAATGACTTAATCATATGTATTTCACATATTCAAGATTCAAAGAAGAAGGTTATATATTACAAAAACGAGAGTCACATGGAAACAAGGATTAAAATATAAAGGTTACATATTACAAAAAACCATTGTCATATGAGAATAAGGATTAAAAGTAGAAGGTTACATATTACAAAAAATGATTGTCACATGGGAACAAGGATATTAAATTAAAAATTAACGCCTAATCCTAGTTGGACAACTGTTTTTGTTGTGGCCCAGTTGATCGCATCTACTACACTTATTTTTCCTCCTAATTCCTTCTCGACCATCATCCATATTATTTCTAATTCGTACTGAACGAGGTCGCCCGACTGATCTTTTATACAAAGGAGGTAATATCCGTGCTCCGTCTTGCAATGTCAACTATCATATGGTGGACGAAAACACTCTTTGTACGTTTGTTGATAGTTGTATGTTGAATACCAATTTACGACGAATGTAAGATGTGAAATCCTCGCACCACCCTGTAGATCAGAGCAAACTGCGACAACATGAGAACAAGGAAGCCATTGTAATTACGGTACATTGCATGTGCATGTGCAAGTGTAATTGCGGTACATTGAATGTGCATGCCCAATTTTCCATATTTTCAATAGCAACCACTGCAAATGCCAAAGGAAATAAACCGTCATCTGCGTCTACTCCAGTTGCAACAAGCAAAATGCTTTTATATTTATCATACAAGTAGGTACCGTCAATGCTAAGAAGAGAATGACAATATCTAAAACCCTTAATGCAAGGCCCAAAAGCCCAAAATACACCTGTGAACCGTCGTTCTACGCCATCAACAAGGTCTGATGATACTTCATACACTATCCCCGGATTTTCTCTTTTGAGTGCTTCAAGATAATATGATAAGATCTCATAAGATTTGTCCCAATCCCATAATATTTTTATCATCGCCTTTCTCCGAGCATTCCAACACTTGTTGTATGATACATCCAAGTTGGTTGCTTTATGCAAGACGAATATCTTTTGGTCTTAGATCAAGATCTCCCATTAGATTAGGCATAATCAATTGATATATGAAAGAGGCGGAGGCGTGCTTATGATTCATCTCTAATCGAGGATTGCTACATGAGTGAAGTCTGTTGTTGTGTGTGATTTTAAATTGTCCGCCTACTCTTACACCCAAGCGTGAATTAAGCTTCCAAGGACATTTTGCATTGCCGTCACGGTGCCCACCACTATCTTCTTCTTTACCATATTTACGGTAAAAACAAACTACATTATAGCTTGTTGCATTGCTTTTTGTTTGACTAAACTTGGCATTTTTTTGGATGACCCACAAACGAAGCACATGAATCAATTTCTCCTTGTTTTCAAATAGATCGCCCTTTTTGAATGAGAAGTCATCGCCTTGTGTATCATCAATGATATTAGTGTCGATAGGAATACTTTATATCGTGGAGTTATCAATCCATTCTTCTCCATGAAGTTCATCGGGCGGCAGATCCTCTAACACGACATACTCATTGTTAGTATAATATTCATAAATATATTAGTTATCTCCTTCATCACGATCTATCAAACACGTCATGCTATTGATTTGTAAGGCATCTTCTTCATCCTCAGATTCGACACTTGCATTATCATCTTCTATCGCCACTCCTGTGGAAGGCATTGGATCTTTATGGGGAGCGCTAGCATCGAATGCATTTGTAGTGCCCAAAAGCGAAGGACCGCTCAAGTATTGTGACTGTGTCCATCTAACATCTTGTTACGGAGATAAAAAGTCGATGGAGTCAACTTCAAGGCCATCCAACATGTGGGAGTATATTCCGCCGTGATTCACCGATTTGCATAAATTCCTGTGATGCTTTTCAATAAATAATTCCACTGAACGCTTCTCGTCGTCTAATATTCCAATAAGACCCATATCGTAGTCACTTGAGATTTGAATAACGCTTGTTCTGTTCCCCATAACATGATAATTGCAAATAACGTTAAGGTGATACTCACGTGAGTTGGTTAATGTAAGTTTGTGTAAGTCATTAACTAATTCATCGAAAGTACACGATTTTGATATAAACAACGGTTTCGTCACACCTCCTTTATACACGAGCATATTATTTTTTAGATAGTTAATCTTTCCACCATATGAACAAAGAATTACGATTCGATCCTTCATCGTTACCTCTGAAGAGTAAAAAATTCAATATCAATATTATACGAAAAATATAAAAAATTGTTATTTATCATTAAATCTTCCAATATCGATTTTAGACATCCATAATTTTAACCAAATATCAAGCCTTTATAATAACACTAACTTTTATAATTTTCGACAATTTCCCCTCTACCTTCATACACGAAATTATTTAATTGTTCTTCACAAAATTCATAAAAATTCAAAATTTATTTCAAAATCTAAATTTATACAAGTAATCAGCATGAAATAGTGAGAATATATAAGAAATTAGGATAATTTTTTAAGATTTTACCTAAAATTTGTCGATACCCTAATTTCCGGTGAACTCCGGCAGTGACAGCGGCGAGATCGATCAACGGCGGTGATGAAGGTTCTCCTTGGCTGGCGGGTAGGCCTCGGCGCCCGCCGACGCGCGATTGCGGCGCGAGTCGGCGGCGATGAGAAGGCTAGGTTTGGGACGAAGGCTAAGAGGGTCAGCTTGGTGGACGGCATGAATATCGCTAGTGGGGTCCTGGGCCTTTTATAGGCTCTGCCAAACTCCACGGGACTTAAAGTCCCGTGGAGTTGTAAGGACAATTTTCCAGAGAGCAGAGCTCTCTCAAAAAGCGACTGAGACTCGGGACTTCAAGTCCCAAGAAGTTTAGTTTGAAATAAAAGTTCACGGGACTTTAAGTCCCGTGAACTTATATGGATGCTTGAGAGGAGGATTAGCGGAAGACTAAACTTTACGGGTTGAAGTCCCGTGAAGTTTCAGATGATTTTTTTTTTCAAAATCGACCTAGTTTCAGCTATCGAATTTTAAAAAGTAAGTACAAAACGTGTCGATTTTTACAATTAAGTTTTCAATAAGACGGTTTGAAAAATTTGTGCAAAGATTATTTGCAAGGACAACAATGTCTTCTCCTACCTCAGCAGACGGGGGAAAACCACCCACAAAAACTCTATTTTGTCCTCCGTCTCTATCTCTCTCTCTCCAAAAAAATTTCAACGCTTAAAAGTCTAGAAATTTAGAAGTCTCTCCACCAAGAGAAAATAAAATCAGAAGAAGGGGCAAATTTAGAGAGAAAGAGAAGTGGGGGAGAGAGAGAACAGCAAATAGAGATCACATGGATTCCGATCTATGGATCGCTCGTCTCGCCGCAGCAAAGAGGCATTTCTCCCTCCATCAACATCAAAACTCCCAATTAGGTTTCTTTCCTTTGATTTTGTATCGATTCGAGCTAATTTGATTTGATTGGTTTCAATTGACTTGGAAGTGGTTGATCTTTTTGTCTTCATCATTTTGTGTTAGATCGATTGGGAATGGATGATTTCGAGGTCGAAGAGGAGATTAGGCCGGATTTTGCTTGCCCTTATTGCTACGAGGATCAGGACTTGGCGTCGATTTGCAATCATTTGGAGGAGGAGCATAGGTTGGAGTCAAAAGTTGCGGTGAGACTCGGATTTCAACACAAAAATTGCCTTTCATTTGTTGAAGATAGAGGATTTTAAGTTTGGTCTTTAAGTGGATTGAAAATTATTATAAGTTAATATTTCGTTTGTTGCTTTAAGTGTTAATAATCTAACGCTAAAGCAAGCTGCAGATGGCCTTGTTTTAGTACAAAGATGACTGTATTTCAAATCATTATTAGATGTAGGCTCCTCTTAACCTTAAAAAAATAGGGTAATTATATGAAAACCACCTCTCATTTTCAATTTATAGATAAACTGCATTTAAAGTTAGTTTTTGTTGCAAACAACCACCTCCCATCAAATTTTCACTAAATAACCATAAAATAAGGTTAAAAATTCAAGTTTAAGGTACGTAAGTTGTATCCTAACAAGAATAAAACACTAAAATGATAAGTCACGTGCCTTAAATATGAGCTTTTTAGGGGTAATTTTGAGTGTTTAGAGAAAATTTTGACTATGAGATAGTTGATTGCAACAAAAACAACTTTAAAGGTGATTTATGTATAAATTGAAATTGAAAGGTGGTTTCCATATAATAACTCTATTTTTAGGTGGTTCCTAGGGGGAAAACCCTCAGATATATTGCTGTTATGAATGGATTTAAAAGCATTCTTATCTAGTATAAATGAGAGAATACTAGTTTCTTTGCTACCTATAGAGGTCTACGAGTATAAGCCTTGCTCATAGGTAGTTTCTATTTTTTTTTCCTTCTGCTAGTCCTATGGTCCCTATTTTCTTGATTAGAGCTTTGTTTTGTAACATTCTTTTTCCGAACAATTTTTCAAAATCGACCCATTTAGTTTTTTATTTTTCAAAATCGACCGTTTTTTCTTTTATTTATCAAAACCGACCGGATTTTGTGATTAGCAGATTAATCACTATCCTAAATAGTCGGGGTTGCCAACCCCGACTATTTAGGAGGGTGTTAAACCCTAATTAAGGCCTTTAATTAGGGTTTAACACCCTCCTAAATAGTCGGGGTTGGCAACCCCGACTATTTAGGATAGTGATTAACCTGCTAATCACAAAATCCGGTCGGTTTTGATAAATAAAAGAAAAAACGGTCGATTTTGAAAAATAAAAATCCGAATGAGTCTGTTTTGAAAAATTATTCTTCTTTTTCCTATCATGTTAAGGGGCTGTCTTATGACATTGAACTCATATCTAATATCCTTCCTCCATGCGAATCTGAATTGCAAATTTAACATTAAGGAAGGGAGAGAGATTAATGGGTACATAAAAGTTTCAAGTAATGAGCAAGTGTAAGTTTTTGATCCACCTGGGCTTGAGGTTAGCTATGCTAGTGATCCATCCTCAATGATTTGTTGTATTTGTTATTGCTCATTACAGGGGAGTATGTCTGGAGGTATTACGTTAGCACTTAGCAGAATACATGGTACAAACCTCTTCCATGAAAACATCACACTTCATGATGTGGGACAAGAGACCTAGGGATGACTAGTGCAAATATAGATCAATCAAGCAAGGGATGATTGCAATCCTGGGCATAAACTATATGCACGCAGCTGAACGAAGATGAAAACCATAAAGGCCAATTTCTACTATGATGGATAGTGCAACCAATATGATGAAATAAATAATCAACCAAATAAGATCTAACCTAGAGCAACAAGCAATCATAAGTATGAACAATTTCACAGAGATGCAAATTAACAATCAACATACGAATAGGGGTTTAGAATTCATCTGGACAGGTGTAGAATCGATACTTCAAATTAACCATTTTGTACACTTGAAGACTTTACAAAGCAAATTTAGGCTCTGAAGGATTGATCTGGTCTAATTAGGATCTCATCAGAACTTGAGTGATGATTGTGACACCCCCGCTTTAGTCCCACATGGATTAGTGTGAAGAAATATTAGTGGTTTAAATAGAGAAAAAGCTCAAGGCCCAAGAACTAGTGCTTGACGGTGCATTTAACCAACCCACGAGTTGCTCTCCGTGGACCCACGGCTTGCACGCGCCAACGGGCCCATGGATCTGAGGCGTGACAAATGGTATCAGAGCCGTTGCTAGCTAGAAGTGTGGAGCTAAGTGCTAGGCTAGGTGCTATACCGCATAGATACGATAGGAGCCACATCTAGAGCCCGTAGGAGCTACTTCTAGAGTCCACATCGTCTGGCGGTGATACAGGGATGTGCTAATTATCATGTCGTGATGATGAAGACGTTGTCTTTGTAAGGTAAGGTGATTGTGACACCCCCGCTTTAGTTCCTGTGGGCCCGGAGTGTTATACAAGACTAAGTGCTATACGGGGCTAAGTGCTACACATCATGGATGCAGTGAAAGCCATCTCTAAAGTCCACATCGCCTGACAGTGATACTGGGATGTGCTAATTGTCATATCGTGACGATGAGGATATCGTCTTTGTAAGGTGGGGTGATTGTTATACTTTTACTTTAGTCCTACATGGACTAGTGTGAAGAAATGTTAATGATTTAAATAGTGAAAAGCCCAAGGTTCAAGAACAACTAATACTAGCATTTTGGCAGTGGATTTAAGCCAATATCGAGTTGTTCTTGGTGGGTCCCATGGCTTGCACGTGCTAATGGGCCCGTGGGCCCGGGGAGTGATAAATTTGGATCTGATAGAAATCAACAAAGCAACAGGGGTCTACAAGAATATTTTCATTCCTCTTTATTTTGTGGACCTATATACAAACTAATAAACTTTCAAGGGTCCCAAAGAAATTTGATTATTTAACTAAATTTCCTTTTTCTCTCTCCTCTATCTCTTCCTCCTTCCCCCGTTCATCTTTCTTTTTTTCCTTCGGTCTCTCTCTCTCTCTCTCCTTCGCAGCTACTCGACGCAGCCGCTTCATGCACTGCCGTCAGAGCGACCTCCCAAGGGCGAGGCTCCCCTGGCGATTGGGGTTGACGACGACCCTTGCCGACGGTCAGGTATGTGCTTGTTCTCTTGTTTTTTTCAATTCTTTTTTTCGCTATAGTTTTCAGGGCTTGTTCTCTCCGGTGGTTAGGTATGTGCTTGTTCTCTCTTTTTTTAATTCCTTGTTGTCATGGCATGAAAATTGGTACATTCCAATGTCACTTACCAAGCAATGTGGATTCTAGAGGTGGCTAATACAGGTTCTAGAGGTGGCTCCCACCACATCACGCGGTGTAGCACTTAGTTTCACACTTCCGGCTGGCAACAGCTCTGATATCCGCTTTACTGTCATGCCTTAAAAATTATAGCAAAAAATTCATAAATACGGGTTAGGAGACAACGATCCACGCACAAGACAAGTCCCGTGCATGAGTCAAGCCTGATACTTTATACCATGTAGCTTAACTCAAAATATATACATAAACCTGCTGAGGAATAGTAGCTCAAAATAAGTATACATATATACTTATAATTGTTATTTACATTCCACAACCTTACTAACGTTATAAATGTTTATAACACAGAACACCCTTTTTGCTGAACTTAACACCATTGGAGTCAAGTTTCCAAATAAGCACTTCTTAACCATGCCCACAACCAAATTTTTTTGGATTATCACATTTCTATATCTGATATGGAAAAAAAAATTTTAAAGACAACAGAGTGAGCTAAAGCTCAGTGAGAACATTTCCCACTAGAGATCCTAGATATCTAACAAAGTTCTTATAATTCCCAAAAATAGTGAATTATAAGCTTGGCACAGGATATTTTAGAAAAATAGCAAAATATTGTCCAAGAATAACATACTATTGTTATTTTCAAGAAAGAAAGTGCAAGTTAAATATATCGTAACGTATCCCAGAATCGTGGTAACATATTCCAAAATCAAACTCTCTTTGAAAGCAAGTAATTACTAAGAAAAAATGAACTATTAAATTTGTGTAAAGCCGAAATATCATTATTTTCTCGGATTCACACTCAATCTTAAATCACAAATCTCGATGAGAACATTCATGAAATACAAGAATCACCTCATAAGTCACACTAAGACTACGAATTATAGCCCAGTATCATGGAAATAGCAAAAAGGCATCACATAGCACATTTCCCGAGAATAGAATGCACCTAATTCTGTCATAGGCTGTCGGTCACATCACAAACGCCCAAAAAAGGGCCACATCACAAATGCTAGAAGGTCACATCACAAATACTCATAACGGGCCACATAAAGTTGCATTTAAACCATATGATAAGCACAAACACATCACTCTATAGTGGACTTTCTGAGGGTTTAAAAACATCAAGAATTGCTTGTTAAATAGCTTGATTTCGGAAACACATCTTTTGTCAAATTATTTGATTTCAAAACACATTACTTATCAATTTGTTTGCTTGCAAAACCACATCACTCGTCAAATCATTTTATTTCAAAACGCGTCATTTGCGCCAATAATATTATTGGTATGTTCACTTACCAAAATTACAAATATTTTAAATGGAGTGGACGAGCGTAAACCTCATCATCTCAGTTAAAATAGTTTACAGATTTTACTTTTCTCTATTTTTATCAAATACTAAGTCAGAAAATCTTTGAATCCACAAACTGTTACGACACCTTCAAATTATTTTTTTCTTCAAAAGCTTTCAAATAAGTATTATTCACAAGTAATTGAGTTTACATGAAACTAAAACTGCTAACAAGGTTATCGATAACGGATAGCGTCGCGTAGCGGTGAGACATCGCTAAGACTATTTCAGGCTATTGCGGTAAAATAGCGGTAAAAAACACAAAGTCAAATAGCGGTCTAATTTAGATATGTATAAATACTAAAAAAAATTAAAAAAAATCTAAGAAATCGTCTAATTTAGATATGTATAAATACTAAAAAAAATTAAAAAAAATCTAAGAAATCTAAAAGTACATATTGGATGATTTAAAGAGACTATAAATACTAAAAAAAATTAAAAAAAATCTAAGAAATCTAAAAGTACATATTGGATGATTTAAAGAGACCCTAAACATGAAATAGACATGTGACCATCAAGTAATATCGAAGATGACTGGAGGAATCAAAAAGTCATCATCTTCGAAAAGAAGAGCTTAGTGGTGACAGGACTACTCTAAGAGGAGCTCACGGTAAAGGATGTGAGAGGAAGTATCAAGGTAGGTGTCAGAGGTTATTAGAGGTGGCGGGAGTATGCTGAAAATCACAGGAGACGGTGGAATGCAGTGGTCAATGGTTGAGTTTAATTTTAAAAAAATAAGTCTCAAACCGCTTTTAAATCGCAGTCAAAAAGAAAATTTCGAATGCAATCACTCATTATTTACCGTTATGACACACTATTGATCGTTTTTGTGAACAGACATATTCCGTAATATGTCACCGTTATTGCGCGATAGCGTAGCGGGCGATAGCGTCGCGAGAAGGGGCCGCTAACGCTATTAGCGCCTCTATTACGGGACTATTTACCGCTATTTATAACAGTGACCGCCAATCACATTTATGTGAAATCTAATTTACTTTTAAATATATTGTATGAAATCAAATCATATTATATGTTATACCATAATAAAATAGATCGGATCACATTTAACTTTATATATATACAAAAAATAATAGATTATTTGTTTTTCAAGCACAAAATGAAATCAAATATAGCACTCATGCAAATTCATATTAAAAAAATACTAGTGGGAAATGAACTCACCTCTAATGAGTACAGCTTTCTCAAAACACTACTTTCCAAATATCAACCTGAACCTATAATAAAAATATAAGACTAATATTAATTAAAGACAAGTACATATTATTGGACAAGCATTGCAAACTTTAAAATCAATCATATTCAAGTACACTCAAATAATAATTATCTATAAATAAGGTACACGTAGGCTTTCTTGCTAATTTGAGCAGTTTACTATAAAATTTTTATGGTATTATTCGAATAATTTCAACTTATTATTAACGTGTGACGCAACTTATGGGATTCTAATTAATTATTTGAGCTTAATTCCTAACTGAGCTTGGATCTTTTGGATCTAATAGAAATCAACAAAGCAACATGGGTCTACATGAATATTTTCATTCATTTTTATCTTGTGGACATATATACAAACTAATAAACTTTCAGGAGTCCTAAAGAAATTTGGTTATTTAACTAAATTTTCTCTTTCTCTCTCCTCTCTCTCTTCCTTCTTCCCCCGTTCATCTTTCTTTTTTTTTCCTTCGGTGTCTCTCTCTCCTCCTCCGCGGCTACTCAGCGCAGCCGCTTCATCTGTCGGAGCAACCTCCCGAGGGCGAGGCTCCCCCGGCGATTGGAGTCGACGACGACCCTTGCCGGCGGTCAGATATGTGCTTGTTCTCTCTTTTTTTTTCAATTCCTTAAGAAATCAAAGAACAAATGCCCCCATCAATTCCTAAAATAAAAGAAGACTAATGAGAAGAAGAATTATACCTTGATTGGATTGAATTTAGGGTGATATTCTCTTCTTTCCCCCCTTTTTTCCTTACCCCTATCTTCTTCTTTTCTTTTATTTTTCTCTTTCCCCCCTCTTATTCTTCCCCCTTTCCTTCTCTTTTAAATTGTTGGGAGGCGGTGTAAAAATTACTGACATGGTGAGGCGGTGAAAAAATCACGGACATAGTGAGGCGGTGAGAAACATTGAGATTTTTTCCCTTTTTTTTGGGTTGTTACACTCTCACATGGACTAGTGTAAACAAATGTTAATGGTTTAAATAGAGAAAAGCCCAAGGTCCAAGAACAATTAGTGTTAGTATTTTAACGGTGAGTTTAAGCCAACATCGAGTTGTTCTTGCCTTCTTGGTGGGTTTCACGGCTTGCATGCGTCAACTGGCCCGTGGGCCCGGATGTGATAAAATGATATCAGAGTAGTTATCAACCGAATGTGTGAAACTAAATGCTATATGGGGCTAAGTGCTACACCATGTGGATGTGGTTGGAGCCACCTCTAGAGTCCGTAGGAACCACCTCTAGAGTTCACATCGCCTGGTAGTGATTCTGAGATGTGCCAATTATCATGTCGTGACGACGAGGACGTCGTCTTTGTAAGGTGAGATGATTGTGATACCCCCATTTTAGTTCCACATGAACTAGTGTGAAAAATGTTAGTGGCTTAAATAGAGAAGCCCAAGGCCCAAGAACAACTAGTGCTAGCATTTTGACGGTGGATTTAAGTCAACATTGAGTTGCTCTCACTGGGTCCCAATGCTTGCACGCGCCAACAGGCCCGTGGGTCTGGGACGTGACAAATGGTATCAGAGCAGTTGCCAGTCGGAAGTGTGGAGCTAAGTGCTATACGGGACTAAGTGCTACACCGCATGGATATGATGAGAGCCACCTCTAGAGTTCGTAGGAACCACCTTTAGAGTCCACATCGCTTGATAGTGACACTGGGATATGCCAATTGTCGACGACGAGGACATCGTCTTTGTAAGGTAGGGTGATTGTGACACCCGCGTTTTAGTCCCACATGGACTAGTGTGAAGAAGTGTTAGTGATTTAAATAGAGAAAAAAACCCAAGGCTCAAGAATAACTAGTGCTAGTATTTTGACGGTGGATTTAGCCAACCCACGAGTTGCTCTCCGTGGACCCATAGCTTGCACGCGCCAATGGGCCCGTGGGCTTGGGACGTGACAGTGATGATAACAATCATAGCCAATACGTGATCGGGGTCTCGAGGCAGGGGCGGATTTACATGGTGCTGAGGGTGGGCAACTACACCCAAAAGTTTTGCTTTTTATCACTTTACCCGTTGTAAATTTGAACTCTTACCCCAAATTCAGACAATTTGCACCTCCCAAATCTGACCCAATAGCCTCTTAGACTTTACTCGTTTGAAAATTGATAGGCCCAAGCCGAAATACTGAAAATTCAAACTCAAAAGCCCAAATAATATTGACCCATTAGGTACTATAATTGTTGTAATTTATATTTTTATTGTTAGATAAATAGATATTTGGTGTCCGGACTGCAATGAGAATTTTTCTGATCCGCCATTGTCTGGTGGGTTTACGTTGTGTTGGCCTGCATTGGAAGAGGCAAATGAACAAGGAAATAGAGGTGATTGTCTGATTGATGTGATCACTCGAAGTGGCTCCATCTCCACGAAGGAGGTTTGGTTATGTCGGGCACCTCATAGGCAGTCGAAAATAGTCGAGGTCATTCATTGAGGACCGACAAGGTCGGAGGAGCTTCAGTAGGGCTTTGATTTGAGTTAATGAAGTTGAGTTTTGATTTGCTAGGCTAGCAGAGACTAGAGTGGCAGTGAATCTTTGCTAAGGCAGGGGTGACGTTTTGACAGGGTTGATCAAATGGCTAGAAGTTGGTGAGAGGGTAGGAATCTGGTCGAATGGGAGAAGAAGATTTGGGTTAGGGTTTTTTTTTTATTTGATGTAGAGTTTTGATTTGAGAAAGAATAACGTGATTGATCAAATCTATGATTTGCAGAACAATAGAAAACTAAAGACATGGGTCTTATACACAAAGGTAATGATCATACCAATTGTAACTCGTGTGTAGGGAGATTTCTCAAAAGAAAGAGTTTGTCTTCGTCATCTTTTTGTCTTTTTAAAAGATCTTGAAGATCATTTAAGACTGATCATATGTGTGACACACATATAAATAAATCAATTAAGAAAAGCATAATAAAATCCTAACATGTCTGCAACACCTGCATATGATCCCAGATTTTGCATGGATTATTTGGAACAACTGGATAATGATTCAGATTGACTGCAAAGTGATAACAAGACAGGAAAGAAGTAGATCTGGATCTATTGGGGTCATCGTAGTGAAACTTCTTTCACATATCAGCAGGAGATGTTACCCACCTGGCATGTTGACAGTAGAATAACTGGGACAAAGAGCGTCATCTTTTTTTATCTTGTTATGTACAGCTTTCATTCAATCCTTATTTATCTAAAGTCATGCCTATACATGTGTTGTCTGCTTGTTTCCCATGGTAATAGAGGCTGAACATTAGTTGACAGACGAAATTGAGTAGATATAGTTTTGCCTGTGCAGTATAAGATTCTTTTAAATGTCCAAGAATTGACTATGAACCTAAACAACCCCTCCCCCCAAATAAAACGAGGAGTTCCTCATATTATGCAAATAGTTTTACTTTCTAGGTTATTATTGTATTCTTTTTCGTGATGTACTACTACTATTATTTGTTTCAGGTCTGCCCGATTTGTGCTGTTAAAGTTGCACGAGACATGTTGAGCCATATCACCATGCAACATGGGCACCTATGTAAGGTATCCTTTTCCTATACGAACAAGATCCAGTTTCAATCATGTGCATCACTTTTCTACCTATTTCTTCCAAATTGAAAATGAATTCTTGAAGTTACTGGGAAAACTTAAAAGGGACAAATATATAGCTTATGGTAAACATTGAAATTATGTCAACAAATCACATATTACAACATACTACGACTCACTTTAACTTCCCTTTTCCCTTTTATGAAACTGTAATTGTTAATTTAATGCCATTGGACTCCGTGTTCAGAGCTAGCTAGTCATGTAGCTAAAAATGGAAGTTTGGATGTGGTGATTGTGATAATTTACTTCATCCCAGTAACTGATCAATTCCTGGTAAAAGCCAGGCATAACTTCTAAACATCTAATACTATTCTAGAAGTGTGAAGCATGTTAAAACTTTTTCCACTAACGCCCTCTAAATTACATGTGTAATCACAAAAGTGCCTCCTTCACATTCTCATTCAATTAGTTAATAAGAAATTCAATGAAATAGTAGTAATTTAAGAGGTAACCTAGAAATTATAAGTTTTAAAAACTCAATGTATTCATAGCTAGTTGGTTTCTTCAAGGAGATGAGCTTTACTTTTCATGAGGAATTGAAAGGTAAATGCATGAGGTTTGAAGCTTAAGAGGGTCATTCAATAATAGTCCTCTCTATTAACTTTAATTTACACCTAATTATGGACTAATTCTCACTGAATGCAAACCCTCTTCGTCTCTCCATCTTATAAACTCCATATTCACCAATCTATAAATCCTCATATTCTCTCTTCCCTCTCTATCTACCATCAAGAAAGAAACAAATGTCTCTTCTCTAAATCTTAAACCGTATTATCAACTCCGAGGTCGCTGCCCTCGCCGTCATGCACCGTGACACGCGGTAGGGCAGCTGCTACACCTCCATCATTGATGGCCATTGCAACCACTCTATCATCCAATTCCTCAAATCTTCTTTCAGTACTAACTCATGCATCATATGTTTTCTTTTCTTGAATTAATAAAATTGTAATGTAACACAAGTTCATGAGTAGGGGTGAACCCATATGGGTGGTCCACACGGTTTTGCATAAAAATTGGCTAAACAAAAATCAAATTGGATTAGTTTCGAAAATGTTAAAACGTCTGTCATATTTCCGTTACATGTTGAATATTAAAATGAGGTACTAGGAGGTGCTCAAGGCCGAGACAGAGCATTGTGTTGCAGACGAGTATGAAGCCTCACTATCGTAACAATATTAAGAATCTCATCTGCGGTATGATTGCTTGAAAATGATTTGTGCATTTTTTCCTTTGATTTTATTCTATGGTCGAGTCTGTTTTCCCTTTCCTTTTGGAGATTTTAGATGAGGATGATGATGTTATGGGTGTGGACTATGAAGGGAAGAGTCTCCTTCAGCTAGCTTGCATGGTGAGATTTTATGGGAATTATTTCCTAAAAAAATTTATTTTGGTCCTGTTTTGTTTTAATTTTACGCTTTTATGCCTCTGGATCGAAATAATTAAGATGATTGTGGCATAATTCATACCTGAATGTTCATCTTTCATTGGTTTTTCATGCACTCTCATTTTTGGTTTTGTAAAGTGGATAATTCCTAAACTATAATCAACTGTAGAAAGCAATCACTAAGACTCTTTCAGAGCTTTTAGCTGCAAAATGCCCATGCTATACGTGAGCATGGCATCATTGTATGTGCATGTGTGTGGATGTGCTAGGTTTAGGGGCTATTTGGTTCACCATTTTTTGGAAAAATTAATTGGAAACACTCTGATAGTGGCAATTTTGCGATTAAAATGTTTCATTGGGTTTCCTAAAACTATGTTTGGTTCACAAAAAATTTAAAGAAGGGTTTTCTATAAAGTTGGGAAAAGTTGTTTTATTTGTACCTAGAAACCAAACAACTTTATGCATTTGTCTTAAAATTTTAGTTTAATTTTTTTTACATATTTTCAAATTTTGAATCTCAAGTAGGAATTACTAATGCTTGAGTTACAGTACTTGAGTCTTTTGATGATATACTTATAGGATCAAGTTGCAATACTTTGATTTTTTGTTGCTATACTTATGTTTTTTCTTACTAACTTTTAGTATTTAGTGTTATATGTATGTCTTTTCATGCTATATTTTCGGTCTTTTCCTATTATGTTTTAATTTTTTGTACTACACTTGTTTTTTCATGCTATAATTTTATTTCCCTTTTTTAGCTCTATACTTATGTCTTTTCATTCTATACTTCCAATATTATGTTGCTTTACTTTTAGTAGAATGGAAATCTTGGAACTAAAATCATGTCCAAAATTTTTTGGAATCTGCCTGGTTATAAAAAAAATGGAATTTTTAGAAACACCCTTAAAGTTTTAAAAATTGCAAAAAAACCCGAATGTTTTGAAAATTGTTAAAAACATGCTAAAATTCAAATTTTAGAAAAAAACACCATTAAAATTTCAAACCTACAAACAATACACCAAATCATAGAAATCACAAACACCCTTTGAAAAATTTGCAATTTGCACAAAACACCTTGAAAGCACCAACAATTGCAAAAAAATGTTACAAAAAAACCCTAAAAATATCAAAACTTTACAAACATTTAAAAAAAAACACATTTTTATAACTCTTGATCTTTGTAGCGTATTTTTATAAATTTTGAGTTTTTTAGGATATTTTGCCATTTTTAAAACTTTCAAGGAATTTATGCAAATTCTAAAATTTTAGGGTGTTGTTTGTAATATAGATTTTTAATGTACTATATGTAAGTTTAATTTTTTTTGTTGTTTTTTCTGTAAATTTTAATTTTAGAATTTTTTTACAATTCAAAACTTTTAGATGTTTTCCACAAATTCTAAACATTTTCAAACGGCAAAGAGAGAGAGGGGTAAAATAGGGTTCTTAAAATTTTTTTAGGGGGACTAGACTACATAGTTAAGAAGTGTATTTGTGTGATTTGGGTTTAAAGACAAATAAACAAAATTGATTGGATCATTGGATTTATAGGTATCAATAAAACTACTTGGGTTTAAAAATAAATTGTGGTAAAGCTTTGGATTTCAAGGCAAAAACGCTTAAAATATTTAGGCTTTGTAAATGCTCTGGAAGAGTAGTATTTTTTTATGTCCTTAAAGCCTAAATTTACACTTTTTCATAGGTTAGATAACTTAGATTTGGTTAAACAACATACATGATTTTTTTTTGTTTTATTATTTATATTTTATCAGTGGCAGAGCCACGTTGAAGCAAGTGTGGGCAAATACCCCCACTAAAAGAAATTCCTTTTGGTAGATACCCCCCTATGTAATAAATCTAATATTAAGACCCTAGCTAAGTATTTGCCCCCACTTGGCCTCTTAGACACATAACTATTATGATATTTACAATTTAATTTTATTATATCCCACTTGTAAGTTTAAATAAGTTATACTTCTATGGTAATGACATGTACTTTAAATAGAGGCCCGTATGTTTACATATAATGGATAATGGATTTTTAACTAAATGCAATTAGTTTGATAAGACCTATATAGTTAAATCCAAATACCCATTAATTAATCCTAATTATCTCCAATCTTTAAGCTTTATATGTTCTAAATATTTTGCATAAGATTTTATTAGAATTACTTTTGCATAAGAGCAGAACTTGTGAATTGTGATATAGTGGGTTAATCTTAGTTGCATAATAGGGGGGAAATGGCCTGGCGATGGCCACAATAAATCAAAACACTTTTTTAAGTGGAAATTTTTAAATTTCTATGTTATCATTTATTATATTCAATTTATAGTAGTATATTATTTCTAATTATATAAAAAATCATTTAGTTGTATTAAATAGGTCATAGATAAAATTTAAAACAATCATAATGTCAAGAGTTCTTTGAAGCAATGACGTCTGTTATTATATTTTATTTATAATTTTTTTGCCCCCACTACCTAATGGGTCCTGGTTCCGCCATTGTATTTTATGTCCTTATTACTTAAACAATTTTAAAAATTAGGATATTAGAGCTTAGGAAGAAATTACTTTATTCTTTAATGAGAATTGGTTTATCTGGTTGTTTTATATTTTTGAAGTTATATTTCTATGTTTCTTTTGTAAGGGAAAAAAATAAGTATGTGATCTTGTTTATGTTTTTGAGAACTGCAGTTGGATTGTACTACAACAAGCCTGTGAAAATGTTGAACAAGTATTAACTCTAAGGAGTGCTATTTCAAATATTAGTTGAAAAGCTTTAGTTATGAGTTTTGGATTCCTAAAAGAGAATGATCATAAATACATTTAAGAAGTTTTATGTTATATTATATTTTTCTTCTTACTATAGCCTTATGAATTAAAATTTGCTCTTTAATGTAAGATACAAATTATGTTTCGTTAGCTAGATGTTTACATTCTGGATTGAGTGTGGGCCGGTACTTGGAGCTGATATTGTGTTGGAGAGGAGAAGGGGTGGAAGTGAAGGAGGTGGGTGAAGTGGTGGTGATGGTTTACGAGGCATTCATGGTATATTTGTGAAAGGTACTTTGCTTCCTCGGTTAAATGAATGGGAGATGTAACTGATTTTGCAGTGGTGGATATTAGTGCATGCATAATTGAAATATGAGATACATTTTGAGTTTTTTGGAGTAGCAAGTAATTACAATGATCTATTACATAGGACTGTTTAAATCAGTTATGAAACAAAGAGCCTAATTTAATGTTTAAGGTTGTATATGAAAAGTTTTTTTTAAGGCTAAACTTCTGATTATTAGATAATCCCCTACAACTTACTTTAGGGGTTATTAGAAATCCCCCTTTAACTTTAAAATTTTATCAAAAAACCCCAAACATTGTTTAAACGCAATTTTTCACATGGATGTATAAAATTACGCCTGGGAATATTTTTTCAGTGAAAATTGTGGTTCATTCTTTTGGGGGTTATCTGAATAATCTTAAAATTAAAGGGGATTTTCTATTAACCCCTAAAATGAAGGGGGTTTGCTGATATTTTAAAAGTTTTGGGGGGTTATGTAAAACTGTCCAAGGTTACGTTTTTTTAATTTTTAGCATTTTGTTTAATATGTCTTATATATGTTGGTAATGGACTAGATTTACTATATGAATCTTCGTACTGTTTTAATGTTTCATGATGTGCATTAAAGAGAATGATATTTGTTGCTTGAGCAAAAGTTTTTGAGTGTATAATGTAGTTTACTTGATATTATGGTATAGCATGCAATGAAGAAAAGTATGATTTATTGCCTGAATATGCGGTCTTAAGAGTTTCCAAGTTAACTATATCATTAAATGATAACTTAGTAAGAAAAGTTTTAGAACAGGGCACAACTCACATTGATTAACATCTCTCTGTTAATCTTCATATTTGTTTTCTTTTTTTTTTTGGGGGGGGGG